CGTTTGCCTTCAATTTTGTCATTGAGAGCAATTAGGTGTTCAAGGCCCTTCAGGTCCATTCAAGTGTCCCAGAAACTGCATTTATTTTGTCTTTTCCAGGTCTTTTTCACCACGCAGCCGACAATTACTTCTCCATCTACATGTACTACCTCATTCGATTTCTTTTCCCTCCATGAAATTCTCAGCAGTCTCCTAAGAAACCACATTTCTGTTGCTTGTATTTTATTTTCACTGTCTTTAGTGACTGGCCAGTATTCACAGCCGTAAACGGTATAGAAGGGTTGACCACCCCTAGCCCTTCAGAACTTCCATTTTGGTAGCCATTAAGACATTTCTTTTCTTCAGGACTGGGTTAATCTTATCGAAACTATTTTTTGCAATTTGGCAATTCTTTGTTTTCTTTCAGAGGAACATTTGGCATCGGGTGCACAGTAATTGTGTATCCTAGATGCTTAAACAGTTGAACTTGTCTTGATCTTTTCACCTCAGTTTATTTATGAGATTACAAATAAGATAATTAATACTCATGAGGTGGAGCCATTGTAAACAGCATCTACCTCAGCCAGGACTGAGCAAAGGGGTAATGATTTTTGAACACTCCCTACACAGCAAAGTTCAAGAACATCTCATATATGGGACTCGAACCAAAGTAATCTGCACAGTCTTACGACATTTCCTGCGGCTGAAGGGTACTTAAAACATTCAATGAGAATCTTCCATCAGGAACAGATTACTGCCACTCTCAGGAAAACAACACTCCCCCCCCCCCCCCCCCCCCCCCCCCCCCCCCCCCCCCCCCCCCCCCCCCCCCCCCCCCCCCCCCCCCCCCCCCCCCCCCCCTCTCTCTCTCTCTCTCTCTCTCTCTCTCTCTCTCTCTCTCTCTCTCTCTCTCTCCCTTCTGGCACTGTGGCGTCATAAGTGGTCAGCGATGCTGACAGCATGCTGGAACTCCATAATCGCTCAGGGGTTCTAGAATAGTGCTGATCGTGGATCGCTGAAATGTCTCAGCAGACATGTTTTGGCACGACGATAACAACACTTAATTAACAGAGGTACGGCAAAGATCTAGTCAATGTATACAAGACACTTTTAATTAATCAAGTGAATTGTGATTAAAAAGTCAACGTCTATCAGTGGGGTGAAATCCCTGTGAATAATGTGATGATGAATTTGAGCCACCTGTTTAGACACACTTTTCACTCTCTGACGTAAAGGAAAAACCAAGTCTTGTATGATCTCTTTCTAACGCCTCGCTATCTCATTTTGGCTGTTTTGAGTTACTAAGACCATGAGGTCAGAAACCAAATGAATTATCTGTAATATTATTCGGAGTCGTTATCAAGATATTCAAGGAATTGCATTAGAAAAAGCTTGACATATTGTGAAACTCGAAATGTTTGATGTCAAGTTTCTCAAAACTAGGTTCTGAGCAAATAGAACTTTGTACCTCTGAGGTAGTGACCTGTGGACAGAAACTTCTACATATTTACTTCAGTACATGTCTTGACAAAGAAAAACATTTCCAACATTCACAAATTTACACATTCTCACAACTAACCAAGATATTTAAAAAGGCATTTACAAAAATGACCAAGCGAGCAGAACTGCTTACAGACGTACCTCAAAGGCAGCCAAAAATGACTCACATCTGTACGCAATACTGCCCGCGAATTTCTTACATGTAAAAGCTACAAAGATGAATGAACACTTCTAACACACTCGCACAAATAAAGCTTTACACAACCACATTGGTTTTCCCAGTAGAGATGTACATCTCGTGCGCCTGAAAGATACACACCTTCACAATAACTGTCAAACTGGCAAAGGTAGAAATTTGTGCATGTGCAACCAGTCCCATTAAAAAAAAAAAAAATTGCTATGCGTTGAAGGTTGAAGCAGTACAAGTACCAAATCCCTATTCATTTTTCAAATGCGAATAATGCTCAATACTGGAACACTTCACTTTTGAGCAGGTTTCAGGGACTGATGCAACCCAGGTCATAACAAATGACATTGAGGGAAAGCTGTCCAGGGATGAAAACATAACACCTATCTGCAGTCCACACCAAATACAATACAGAAAGGTTGAACACAGAAGACTCGAAATCACGCATCCCTTGAACTGTGCCTGTGGTCCGTTTTTTTTTCTCTGTCTTTATCTTTGTTAGACATCCCTCGCACTACCGAGGTCGGTCCCAAAGAATTCGATCTAGATCTATCTGTGTTATACTGTAAATGGAGTGCTTTACAATATCAAACAAGTAGAAACATATTTCCTTTCCTTTTCTCCTTTGATTGTTATCTAAAGAAGTGAACCCAATCCTATTTTCTTTCCTTTTCTCCTTTATTATCTAAAGAAGTCAACTCAAGTGAACCATAACTCTAGTCTTTTCTTTCTTTTTCTATTTTGTTATGTACAGAAGTGAATCCAAATACTGTATTTTGTCTCGCTTGAGACACATTGAAAACGCTACACAGTACAGAACAACTAAAGAGCATTACTGTTGTTGTTCTTGCTGTTGCTGCTGCTGTTGTTGTTGCTGTTGTTGTTGTTAACCCAGCAGCCTTTGCATTTGTGCTATGTTAAAAAAAAGGTGGAGGTCTTTGACTATATATCTTGTTCTTTGCTGCAGTACAAGGTTGGCCTACTGTCTATGGTAGGGATGGGATTGTCTTAGTAAGGTACTAGAGATTTAAAAATATGGATGACCAGCAATAAATTGAAACTAAATGATGACAAGATGGAAATAATGTTGAGTGGAAATACAAAAGCCATTAAAAATCTCCCAGAGCTACAAATTGATATTAATAACCATACCATTCGTTCAAAAAGAAGTCTTAAAAATCTAGGGGTTCAGTTGGATTATGATATGTCTATGTCCTCCCAAATAAGCCAGCTCAGCAAAAGTATTTACTTTCAGCTTAAGAAAATTGGCAGTGTAAGAAATTATTTAACTAAAGCAGCTGCCAAGACACTTGTAACAACACTCATTTTATCAAAGTTAGATTACTGTAATGTTATTTTGTCCGGTTTGACATCCGAAAAACTATCAAAGTTACAAGTACTCCAAAATCAAACAGCAAAATTGATAATGAAACAAAAGAAATCAGCCCACGTAACACCAATTCTGAAAGAACTACACTGGCTGCCAATAAAAGAAAGGATTAAATACAAAACTGCCGTTCTCTGTTTTAAATGTATAAATGATAGTGGACCTTTTTATCTTAAAACATTCCTGGAATTATATAATCCACCTAGAGCCCTTAGATCAGCCTCTGACAATCTAATTCTTAAAACTCCAAAACAAAATTACAAAACATACGGCGAGCGTTCCTTTTTGTTCTTTGGTCCCCAGGTATGGACCGAACTCCCATATAAAATAAGATCTGCCCCAACAATTTCCATTTTCAAAAATCAGCTGAAGCATTTTTTATTCACAAAAGCATACCTGTCATAATGATGTACTGTGATATATATGCATGTGTATGCCAGACTGTGAGACTGAAGAAATAGCGAGTGAGAATGAGAGAGAGAAAAAGAGAGAGATAGAGAGAGAAAAGAGAGAGAGATAGCGAGAGAGGGAGAGAGAAAGAGAGAGAGAGATAGAGGGAGAGGGAGAGAGAGAGAGAGGGAGAGAGAGAGAGAGAGAGAGACAGAGACAGAGACAGAGAGAGAGACAGAGAGAGAGAGAGAGAGAGAGAGAGAGAGAGAGAGAGTGAGAGAGAGAGAGAGAACGGAAATGTTTTTCTATCTGTATAGAATTAATGTTTTAATGAATGTTTCTAGTTACTCACGTTTCAACTTTATTTTGACTGTTCGTGAATTTTTATTGCATTGTATATTTTTAGTGAACACATTTTCAACCTCACTGCGAGACTGTTTTTCTGGTATAAAATTTTACACATATGCATCTATATTATATGTATAATACTTTGTTTTACGTACACATTTGTGTCGATTAATTTTTAAGATGTGATATCTTTTTCATTGTAATGCGCATTGAGCATCTTTTAGGAAATGGAAATGCGCAGTATAAATGCTATTTATTATTATTATTAGTGAATTTAATGTCTACCACACATACATAGTTTTCGTAAACCCATAACAAAAAACTAAGGAGATGTCTTTAGTAGGGGAATGGCAAATTGAAAGCTGTATCTGTGAAATTGAGTTTTCTGTGTTTGTGCTCTCTGTGCCTGACTGTATCTGCAAAGGTCCCAGATGTCGGCAAAGCTATTTTTGATCAACGGGGTGAAAAGGCCCAAAAAGTCATATCTGGTAAAAAATCTAGTTCCACCAGAAAACACACATTTAACATATAATATATTGAAAGGGTTTTTATAATATTTTAAGTCTAATTATTTTTGGTAATTATTTGTGCAACATGTTGTACTCCACCAAGGGTTAAAAATGCGCTAGAAATTGGGTTTTTCTCCAAAATGTGTTTTTACACCCAGTGTTACAAATTGTGGCTTATCTTTAGAACTACCCAAGATATTTTAAAAATTAAAAAATCAATGTGTTCAGCATTGAATTTGCAACAAGAAAAAGCCCTTATTTCAGTATCCAAAATTTCCAACAACTGGGACCTTTCCCCAAGCACGCACACACATGTATGTTAAAACAAGACGCTGGATGCTGTCAACCCAGTGGTTGGAGGTGGGGGGTGGGCAGGCTTTTCTTTTTTATTTTAGTAAGAGTTTTACGGCACTTGCAACACAATAAGGTCATATAAATGCAGAAGATTAGAGGTGTTACAAGAGAGTAACATACATAAAATGGACGGAAAGATCAGGACCAAAGATGTTTGATAGGAAAGATGGAGCAAACCACACCAAAGCACCCGCCAACAACCCACAGGCTTTTCTTAACTCACACAAAACACACAATGAGGAGACACATCTTATCCAGTGGACAGAAAGACAAGATCTCTACAGCATGGTGAACAACAACAGCTGCAACAACAACAAAGAAAACAACCGAGACAACAACAAGGTCAACGACAATGACAGCAGCACCAACGCTTTAATGAACAAAGAGAAACACACACATACAAAAATACTCACACACAGGCGCAAACATGCACACACACACACGTATGGTGGGCAAAGCCTGCACATACACACACACACACACCCTCGCACACACACACACACACACACTCACAAAGCATATATCAAGAAAACACTTTGAGCCTGGGTTCAGCTACTACGGGCTGGTTCATAGCTGTCTCCAGATCCCGGTACTGTTCTATGACTGATGTCAGAGACTCCAGACTGTCGGCAAACTGACCACTGTCCATTCCCTCCACCTGGTTGTAGTGATGCAAATGAGCCTGGGGAGAATACAAGAAATAGCGACTGAACAGGAGTTCAGAAAGTCAAATTTTCATACAAATTCACTTTTGAAATTGACCTTGCAGCAGATGGATGAAATTAATTCAGTCAAAGTTTGCATGCAAGATACGTCCCTAAGATACAGTTTCTATTCGCCTATAACATGGCCTTAGGTATAATACAAGTCAATGACTTTGGCTTTCTGAGGAAGCTACTGAGGATCAGATGGACAGACAGGATCACTAACGAGGAAGTGTTAAGAAGAACGAGACAGAGCCCAGTCAGAGACGAGGTGGGAAGAAGGTGCTGGCGATGGATTGGACACGCTTTCAGGAAGGCAAGCAGCTGCATAACAAGGAAAGTGTTAGATTAAAACCCACAGGGTAAAACATCAAAGGGAAGACCACGTGGAACCTGGAGAAGAGTCACTGAAATGGATGCACAGAAAAGTGGGAAGACGTGGAGTGACATCAAGCAACTCGCCCAGGATAGGGAAAGGTGGAAAGTGTTTGTTCGTGGCCTATATCCTGATCCAGGGTGAAAAAAGCAATGATGATAACATGGCCTTAGGAATAATACAAGTGAATGACTTTGGCTCCATTCACCTGCACAAAACTCTAAAAGTGAGCCGGCAATCTTGAGACAATCACAGAGGAATATCCTTCTTGCCTATTGCCAGTAGGTGCCTGGCCTGAATTCTTCTCAATCGCCTGTTGAAGCAACTCTCTTCAAATGCCGCCGTGCCTGAAAGTCAGAGTGGCTTCTGCACCAAAAGCGACATGGCAGACACGATCTTTGTGGCCAGGACCATCCAGGAAAAGTGTGTAGAGCCGAATAAAACCTTATATGATCTAACAAAGGCCTTTGATACAGTTAGCGGAGAAGGCTTGAGGAAAATCATGGTAAAGTACAGTTGCCTGCCCAAGTTCATTACTATAGTCTGCCAATTTCACAACAGCATGAAAGCCAGTGTCAAGAGCAATGGCAATATGTCTCAAGCCTTTCGTGTGACTCCCAACCCCCGCCCTTGGAGGTCAAAAGAAAGATTATCTATTCCTCACAACCATAAATGTGTAGCATCAAGATGAAATCAGGTGCCCGTCAAAATAATGAAATAGAAGAAAACGTCATTTCCCCCCCCCCCCCTTTTTTTTTTTCAATTTAAAAAATGATTTGTTTTTTGGCTCAACACCTATTATGTCTATTTAAAAACACATTTCTGAATGGATATTACTGGAAATTTTAATTAAAGGCGCACAAAATGTAAATTTTCATTTCCAAAGGCTAGCAAGCTATAAAAGTTACCAAACATAGGAGGCCATTTTCTCGATAATTTCACCTCTGAAACCAAGTGACCCCCACATTCTTCACTGGAAATGCAGTATAATCCACTTTTTCGACAGCCGATGATGTATCGACATTTTGACATAACGACGTATTTTCCAATTACGAAACTTTTCCTTCAATATCTTCACTAAACAATTTCTCTTATATCAACTTTTTTTTCAGCCCCCCTCAGCTTTATCGACATGCTTCCTTGGTACCTGGCAAAGCCCACGACCATAAATGAGGAAAAAGCCATGCTAACGGTCATTAAGTCAGCTTACCTGCCAAGTAGCCTATTTGACACACCAGGCTTTAGTAGGTCATGTAGGGCCTACACAGTGTAGCCTCCAGCACAGTACAGTGCCTCACAGACGAGAACATCTCGTGCGCTGGGCATCACCTCCCTAACCCCACTCCCGATTGCACTCTCCTTCCCCATCCCATTCTTAGTCTGTCGCTGGCAAGTGCCACGGTCAGTGAGTCAGTGCCTTGCCTTTCCATTTTCCCCAGTAAGCGGCCATAAACAGGCCTTACAAGGATTGTACAACAAAGCTTGTGCCTCGTGCCGCTCGCTCTTTGGTACCGTAACTCCAACTCCCCCTCTGCCTCTTGTTAGTTTCACTGTGTAGTTGTGTAAGAACCAAGGGAAACAACCAGCTTAAAAAGTAGTGTTGTCTTTTTATCGCTGACCTCCCCTTGTTTATTCCTCTTTGGCTTTATATTTGCATTTATCAATATCTATTTTTATAATATATATATCGACATCAAATCCACTTCCCAAGGCATGCCGATTTAAGTGGATTACACTGTATCTCGACTTCTATTCAAGATAGATGGATAGTTTTTTCAGTGTATGCAAGACAATAAATCTGTTCCTGTCGTTTTATGCAAGAAAAATTCTGAAATTATGCAAACTGAGCCCAAAAATGTGAAATTATGCGATTCTGTTAACTTTAACAAAGAATGATAAAGGAAAATAATCAGAAATTATGCAAAAAATGATCAAATTTTGCTAAACTAGGCTGGGTGCACAAAACCATGGGGACAGATAAATGAACAAGCTTCACGATGATACCATTAACTCCGTTAGCCCAAAAATTGATGAGCGCCTGATACTCCAGGGCGTCGTGACACAAATACCTATTATATCTCTCCCAGGGAAGAGACACCCCCCTCACCTTGCGCTTGTACAGCTTGCTGAAGCGGTCGCGTATCTCGGAGAAAGTCTGGTGTATGCATGAGTTGTTGGCCAGGGACAGGAGACAGCGTGGCTGCCCCACGGGTGGCACGGAGCACAGGCCCGTCTTCCAACCCTCCTGGTTCCACGGAACGAAGTGAAGGTTGGGCTTCAGTCTGAGGAAAAGAGATGAGCTAGTTTTAGTAGCGTTGAGTTTCAGTCTGAGGAAATGAGAAGAGTTATAATCAGAATACTGAGTCTGTATCTAGCTTAACATTTGTAACATTGTCAGCATTATACTACCAGTCATACTTTCCACAGGAGTTATGTAGTGGGAGTAAATGGAACAAAATTCGAACCTGTCAATGTTTCTGCGAATATCAGACAGCTGCACATCTCCTCGCACCATCAGAGCACATGCTTGGTACACGCTGTGGCGCGGATCGGCTCGCACCATTTGGTGATCTCTGGCGAATGCATCCGTGAACATCTGGTCCAGTCTGGAAGACAAAGTTACCGGTTAGAAATTTACAGAAAGACATTCTTACCAGAGATTATGGCAAAAATAATTTGTGACAGACAAACTTCTTTAAAATAATTGTAATATAATAATAATTGCCTTTGTATAGCGCATATATACCCATACTCTCCAGCATGCTCTATGCGCTTTACAACTATTATTACCCTTGCAGACCCTAGAACACTTAGAAACATTTTCGGTTTCCCGGGAAGCATACAGTGCAAGCTGTGGATTTTTACGCACTCAAACACTATCAAACTGACAAGATAATTCACTGTCTATAGCCAGATACCCATTTCCACCTGGGTGAAATGAGGAAAATTTGTGCAAAGTGCCTTTCCCAAGGACACAATGTTGGACCCCAGACTGGATTCAAACCCACAACTTTATGGTTGCGAGTCTGAGAACCTATCCACTAGGCCACTGATCTTTAGAATTTCTATCCTCATTCTTTCTTTTTAAAATTTATCTGACAAATGTCGTTGTTTGAGTAAATTAGATGCCCGAACAGACAAATTTTCGTGTGAGAAGTGCATGAGAAAAAAGGGCATAGTCATAAACTGGAAATTGTGAGGGTGTCAATTTAAAAAGCTTGTGGACTCATTATAACTTCATATTTGTTTGACTGCTGGTTTATTGTTGTGTTTGTTGAATGGGAAATCTAACAACAGTTTAGTTTTAGTAAGAGTTTTACGGACACAATAAGGTCATATGAGTGCCGAAGGTTAGAGGTGTTACAAGAGAGTAAAAAACAAAAAAAAAGAAGGAGGGGAGATAAAGACGATAGATGTTTGATAAGAAAGAAGAAGTAAACCACACCAGAGCACCCACTAACCACCCACTAACAACAGAAATCAACCAACAGTTGAACAGAAATACAATTATGAGTCAACAAGCGTTCAAAAGTGATACCGTCATGATTTTCAGTTTGTGACTATTCCCGTTTTTCCCATGGGCTCCTTATGTATTACCTCAGATAAAATATTTATCAAATTTCTTGTTTTATCAAATAAATTTCAAATGATCCTCTCTAAAATTCCCCATATGTCTTTGAATCAGGCATGAGCAAACTACAGTCTACAGGCCAGATCCAGCCTGAGAGAAATTTCAGTTCAGCCCACGGGTTTACCCAGTAATTAATAATGAATGTGATCTGCAGTGTGTCGAAGGTCAATAACACCCAAACTGTTTGTCTCGAAAATAAAAATCAGTAGTTTCTTTCCCAGCTGAAATGCCCTTGATTAACATATCTGTGTAAGTGTCAGTTTTGATCTCCCTTTTGAGAGCTTGGGAATTTCAACTAACTTTCTCCTGCTCTGGCCTGCAAGATATTCAGAATCGCTAAATTCGGCAAACAATTTGGACATGCGTGCCCATGTCTGCTTTAAATATATATAAAGACATTTGTCATAAAATCAAAATAAATCCAAATGTTTTTGTGAAGGCCAGCCAGTCAAGTTTTCAATGAATGATGTAGTCAAAAAGGTGTAAGTACTGGTATTTTAATGAAATGTAAATTGTTTTTTTTTTAAAGACTGAAATTTTTACCGTAAACTTTTTCTTAATCCTTTAACCTGACCACTGAACAAAACCAAGCCGTGCTGTGAGCTGTTGTGAATGCAACCCAACTTGTGTTTCATGTGCTCATATGAGCGTCGCAAAATTCTTACTAAGTCTGCGTTGCTGTCCACATTACCTGCGAGGAGGCATTTTGACGTCAGCGGAACAGAACAGAGGCGTCTGGCTGGCGATCAAGTAGTGCATGCGAGGGAAAGGAACCAAGTTCATAGTGATCTCGTTCAAGTCCACGTTCAAAGATCCCTCAAATCTTGCAGAACTGTGAAAAAAACAAGGGGATAAAAAAAGAAGAGATTTAGTATACGTGTTGTCAATGATGAAAAATACTGTGATAATTATTCTAGAAGGACCTCTCGTCCAATGAAACAAACTTTGTACTTTTAATCATTAAAATTTTTTTATCTATCTAGTTTGATTAGAACTCGAAATGTTTGCTATAGACAGATGTCAAGGTCGTCAAGATAAAATTAGCAAGAAAATGGTTGCCAAAGTTTGTTGATTTCCAAAGCTTGAGAGTCCTTGAAAACTGGAAATTAACATTTGTTGAGAATTTAATCAACATTTTTCAGTAAAATCCTCACAAAAATATCTTTTTAAACAGGTACACATAAAAGGTGTGGAGCCAAAAAACGAAAACTCTATAATAATTGTCAAACTGGAGGAAAAATGCCGATATCTTCCATTTCATTATTTTGACTAGCGCCTGATTTCACCACGACGCCTCACATATTGCCAAAGAAACAAACAAAACAAACAAACAACTAACCTGGTGAGATTGAGCAGCAGATTGGCGACCAGGTTGTTCATCTGGTCAAAAGGCTTCTCGTCTTTCACAACCCCGCCTGCCCCTGTGCTGAGGGCACTGTCCGGCTTGACCGCATGCTCTGAGAACACTCGCTTGCCCGGGCGGGTGGGCGGGGCGGCCTGGCTGATCTTGTTCACTATGTCCACCAAGGCCTGAGAGGAAAGGAGGGAGGGAGGAGAAGGAGAGGGGGGGGGAGGAGGGAGAGAGGGAGGAGGAGAGATAGAGGGCGGTGGAGAAAGGGATAAAGAGAGGGAGGAGGAGAGATAGAGAGCGGGGAAGGAGGTAGAGAGAGGCACAAGTAGAGATAGAAAGCGGGGAGAAGAAGGGAGAGGGAGAAGAAGAGAGAGAAAAGGAAGGAGAGAGAACGGGAGGGAGTGGGAGAGACAGAGCGAAAGTGAGAGAGAGAGAGAGAGAGAGAGAGAGAGAAAGAGAGAGAGAGAGAGAGAGAGAGAGAGAGAGAGAGAGAGAGAGAGAGAGAAAGAGAAAGAGAGAGAGAGAGTGAGTGATGGAGGGAGAGAGAGAGGGAGGGAGGGAAAAAGTAGAAAGATTTGTTACTTTTTGTGTTAAAAAGAAACTTATAAGGGTAATAATGACTCTCTGAGGGTGAGGAATATTGAAACAAAGTTACAGAAGAACAGCATATTTAGCCTATATATGCTGTCACAATAATTCACTGGTTCATTCATCATCACAGTCTTCCAGAAACATATCATCACAACCTGCAGCACTCAAGTGTGTTTTGTTCACAATGCTCAAAGTTTTTATATCATGTACAATCAATGAGTTTCCGTACTTTTTTCACAAGCAGTTTTTTTGTTTTAGTGTTTTTTTTCAAAGAAAAAGGTCTGTTTTGACAACCAACAAAAAAAAAAAAAGGGTAGAAGAAGAATCATCACTTTTTCTTTCATAACAGGCTCGGGACTTAAGGGTAAAAGAGAATCAAATGGGGTTGGGACTCAAAGGGTTAATGCATTAGTGATCAGTCACCTTGTGGTCAGGACCATGGCTGGTAACTATGCTTTCTAAGAAAGACCAAACTAAGGAAAACAGTCCAACCTGCTCTAACAGCTACCTGTCCAAGACAATCATCTGTACAAACAACCGCAGCCCATTTCTACCCTTACGTATTAAAAATTATTATCATTATTGTATTTTCTCCTCGACAAGGTGCGGATCTTTAATCTTAGCTTTACAATGCTTGGTCACAAAACATGCTGTAAAACATTTATTCCACACTGTTTTGACTCAATCTTATACATATATGTAACAGATAATGAATGAGGTAGTCTTCTACTTTTTCCAACTTTTGGATACTATACATTCTACCATAAAACACTTTTAAAGCACTCATCCTTTTTCGCTGTTCAGCTGCAAAAACAAAAAGCAAGGAGAAATACAATATAAAGTAAAGAGGACAGGTATAACACGGATAGGTCGAACACAGAAGACTCAAAATCAGACATACGTCGAACTGTGCCTGCGGTCTTGTTCCCCCCCCCCCCTTCTTTATCTTTGTTAGATATCCCTCGTACCACGAATCCCTCCAACTACAACTACTGAGGCCAGACCTGACGAATTCGAGCTCTCCGTGTTATACTGTTTAAAATAAATTCTGTCTTCTTCACCTGGTTCTCGATGGGAAGTACACAGTCTGCGTGCTCCGTGAGCTCTCTCATGGCGAGCACCGCGTTGTAGGGGGAGGTAATCACATCATCTTCCGATGACGGGTACACAGCAGTCACAAACCTGGCCAGGGCCATACAAGATCGGGTGTAGGAATTAGGTATCAGAAAAGAGAATCACACTGACATATTAACAGTCAGTTAGGGCTGGGAAAAAAGCAAACAAGACAGACACAAAACGGCAGTGGAATAGAGAAAAAAAAGTAGGAACTATCAGTGGCAGCTTGCGACTATCAATTGAAATGGTATTGATAAGACGACATCAAACTTTCTTCCAATATCTTTTTTATAGGAGAGGGTTTTACGGCGCTCGCAACTGCATAAGGTCATATGAGCGCCAAGGGGTGGGTGTCAACAGAGAAGTTTTTACAGGGAATCAGACTAAGACTGCTCACCTCTCTAGTTTCAACAGCACAAGGTCTGCTTCGACTATCAAGGCACCCCAAAATAGCAGGTCACAAGGGAGTGACAAACATACAAAAGAAGTAGAGGAAAATGACAATAGTAATTAAGGATCAGGAAAGAAAAAACAGAAGTTCCCTGTTGTAGATCAGGCACAGTTATGAGCGTAACATGAATCAGCCCATTTACAATTCTACTATGCTTGAACGAGATATGTCCCAGTGGCGGTGGGTGGACCAAGATTTGGGTGGGGCTTAGGGTTCTTCCACTTCTTTACCACAAAAAAGTAAGCTATAAGAACAAAACAGTGATGATTTTTCTATACTCACGGCGAGCCACGGCATTTTGAGAATCATTCAAACGAGAAGAATCACCTTTGTCTTCCATCTCTTTGTTCTACGTTAAATTCTTCTGGATAGTGGGGACGAAGCCGTTTCACCTCCAAATGTCTCTAATTAGTTTTTATCTGATGAAAAAGTTGCCTCAAAAGTGGTTTGATGTAATTAATAACTGTTAAATCTCAGCGGCACAAACACACAGCACTCCAAACACACACCGTGTATGAGGTGGATTGGGTCGTGTTGTTGCGGAAAATAGAACGCACCTAACAAAGGCCCAATGGGAGCATAGAGGTAACTGTGTCACTGGGGGAAAGTGCGTCGTAAACTTTCACCCCATTGTCAGGGCTGGGACTGCGTGAGCCCTCAGTGCAGTGTTATTTTTTTTCAAGTCTTCTACCTTTTTACAAGAAGAGTTTAATTGAAAACGGGCGTGGGAACCGGCTTATTCTTTCTGAGCCCTAACGACATTTGATTGGCTGTTAGGTTATTATAGTTGTAAGCGGTGACAACAATGATTGGATAAACGGGCTAGCCGCCAAGCTGATCACGGTGTGTTCATTGCGTGCGATCATAACGGTTTCAACTGCTTATTTCGTTATTTAAGAAACTTTAATTAACTAAGGGATAGAGTTGGGGTGGGAAGGGGGTGGGGGTTGGGGGGCTCAAGCCCGTAAGCCCTTCACTACCCACCGCCACTGATATGTCCCCCCCTTTGGGAATGGCCTAAAGACACTTCAGTCAGTGGCACTGCCCCAGGGGGTAAACTTTCTTCCAAGTGGGCTGGACAACTAGGAGAATGTTAAGCACGGGCCAAATAACTGTTTTGTTCAACACAATACACTGAAGTGTAGACTGAAAGATTTGTCCCATTTAAAAAATGTCTGCTTACGTGTAAGCATTAATCTATAGAGTATATTCTATGCACCTTCCTACATAAATATTTTGTGTTACTTTGACGGTATTGTAAAGCAACTTGTAACAAATGTATTATACGAGAGTGGGCACTACAGAAATTACCTGCATTTTTATCATCATTGTTAATTATCAAAGCTTAAAATGAGTGAGATACATCTTAAAGTTATGAAGTCTATAAAAGAGAGTCTCAAGTGTATTTTTTTTTCCACTGTAGAGTACAATGAAAATTAAATTATAATGGTAAATTATTATGGCAACCAAATCCTTCGCACCCTACAATAACAATTTCAAAGTTTTCTTCCCACACTGTGTTGAAATACACCCAGCAACTCACAGAAATATCCCCCCCAAATGAAAACCCCTCACCCATCCCCCACAAACAGACATTTGAGACATGATATAATACTTTTTCACCTGTACACATCCGGGTACTCATCTTCCAGTAAGCCCAGGATACTCGTGCCAACGCCAGAACCAGTGCCTAGAGCAGGGGGGGAAAAGTACACATGCATTTTACTCAAAACTCCAACAATATTTATTGACAAAGAGATGAATTTTTACAGCGTTTATGGGCGGCACTTCACTTGGCGAGTGAGCATGTGCATGGCAGGAGAGAACTGGAATAACACACACACACACACACACCTACCCTGCACCCACCCACCTACCCTGCACCCACCCAAGCACCCACACACACACCCACACCCACCCACCCACACA